ACGGTGGCGGGGGGCAGGGAGGTCCAGAGCCCTGGAGTCTACTTCCACGCCTTGCCCTTCTCACTGTCCCAGGGAGACCCCCTGCTCCCCAGGCTGGCTTGGCCACGGGGGTGGGATGCGGGGTCCTGCTGATTAGAAACACCCATATCTGGGTCCTCTTCCTCCTCAGCTGCGCGCCGCAGGTGGGGCTGGGCAGGCCACGCTCCCTCTGCCGGGCGCGCAGCGAATGCCCGTTTACTCAGCGGCAGCCGAGCTCCTCTCTGGAAATCATCAGCATAAATCTGTCCCCAAGGAGGTCAAGGTGACTTCCTCCTCTATTTCAGAGGCCAGCCTGGCTGCCTCCGCGAGCCGGGGAAGGCGGGAGGACGCCAAGGACAGCGCCTGCCCCACGCTCACCTCCTGCCAGCCTCTTGCTAAACCACAGGAGGCGCTCCCGCTCCGCTCGGCGGCCGCTCCCGCCCCTCCCACCCACAGGATGCGGAAGCCTCCCCCCCGGGCGGGAAGACAGCGAGGAACGTCTGCCTGTGGCAGCCTCTATCCTTCTTGACAGCTCCCCAGAGCCGGGGGAGCAGCCTCAGCGCTACCAGACCGAGGGCTTGGAGCGGCTGGGAGAGCCACACAGCTCTGCCAGGAACGGGCGTGCAACCCTCAACACCTATGGCCTCGTTACAAAGAGTTAATTACGGCAATCGGAGCTCAGGAGGGCACGTGAACACCCCCACGCTGCTTGTGTCTGGTAGGAAAGCGAGCCTGCGGGGACTGGAGCCAGTCGTGGACCAACGGGTTCAGCTATGGCCCGGCACGCAGCCAGGGGAGCGCAGTGCGGGTTTTTCAGCCTGGCCTGAGCTCCGGAGGCTCCCCCTTCCCACACCATTTACAGCTGGACTGAGCCATCCAACACCCACTTTCGCGCGTGGATGTGCTAGAAGGAGATCTGCAGCCTTCCCGCTGGACTAGAGAGGGAGGGAGGCTGATGAAGAGGGGGAAAGGGGGAAGGTTACCATGCTGAAGAAGTCCTCGCTTCCGCTAGGCTGGAAGTTCAGGCGAGCAAAAGACAGGACGATACTGCACAGATGGGTGACCGACAGCTGCTTGGTGTTGTCCAGGACATACTGGAAGATACAGGGGGGGCAAAACCAGAGGCTTAGGTCTGCCCTGAACGAGTACAGGCAGGAAAAGATTGAAAACGACAGCCAAGGACGCATCCAGCCCCACGGCAAGGTGGGAAAACACGAGTGAAAGGTCTTTTAGTGCTTCCCTGGGATTCTATCCTGGCACAAGGGAATGCTGCGAGTGGAAGCAGAGCTCCGTAATATTCCCACTCGCCCGGTACAGACGCAAAAGTGCGGGCACATAAACTGGGGCAGAGCTGGGAAGGCGCCTGGGGAGAGAAGCAGCGCTGGCACTCAGGAGCGGAGGCTCAGACGGAGCCGAGACCGGCCCCAGCTCAGCACGGATCCCCAGTGCTGACTTCAGCAGAAGATGAAGGGCGAGACCTGTCAGACTCGATTACAGCTGCCAGCTGGATAGGGGAAACAGTGACGACATCCCAGGGAGCATCTCTGGAGAGGTGGGGGGAAACTGCTCCCACCTCCTGGGAACTGGGGTGGATCACAGTCGTACTGGTGCCAGTGGGGGCTTCCCCGCCCCCCCGCTAAAACCCCCTCCTCCTCACCTGCCCCATGGCCT